CCTGGCCCTGGGGGGACCCTACCGCTCCCGTGTGGCAGCCGTGGGTCCTGTTGGTGCTGGGGAGCCTGTGCACCTGCCCCAGACAGTCAGGCTTGGTGAGTTGTCACCCTTGGGCCTGAAAAGTTCACAACCTTCTCAAGCTGGAGGGAGGGAGCTCAGGGGGTGCCTGGGGTGCATCCTTGCAGATGCAGCCTGTCTTGTCTGCTGACACTGTTCTCTACAGAGCCTCAGGAGCCTGTGCCTCCCCCACCCCCTGCCTCTGAGAGCCGGCAGGCAGCCACTGGTGAGGATGTCTGTCTGGAGTTTGAGGTGGCAGCTGATGCTGGTGAGGTCGTCTGGCACAAGGGGACAGAACGCATCCAGCCCAGTGGACACTTTGAGGTCCTTTCCCAGGGTCGGCGGCAGATGCTAGTGATCAGAGGCTTCACAGCGGAAGACCAGGGTGAATACCGCTGCAGCCCACGCCAGGACCTGGCATCCACTGCGGCTGCCACTTTCCAGGGTATGTCTACTATCCTGGGTAGGGTGAGAAACCCTGGGGTGTAGTGTGGGCAGCCTGGTGGTCCTTCTCATGGGCTTTCCCAGGGCAGGACTGAGAGTCTTCTCAGGACCCTGTGTCACATCCAGAGAGATTTGGTGAGGAAATGCAATAGACCACATGCTGTTGAGGCTTGATGCATCCAGCCAGCCTCCTTCCTGAGCAGTCAGCCTGTGCAGTCATTGTTTTTCCTTCTGCTGGTTCTCTTAAGCCTTTGGTCTCCCTGGATACTGAGCCCCATACCCTCTGCATTCTGAGACCCCCTTCACTCTGTCTGCTTTGAGTGCCCCTCTGAACATCCCTTGCTCTCTTAGTACCTCCCGCACTTTGAGCCTCCTATGTCTTGAGCCCCTTCCACCCTGAGCTCTCTCCCTGTGCACTGTGAGCCCTCTTTACTCTCAGCTCTCTGTACTTTGAGCATTACCCCCTCTGCACTCTGAGCCCCTGTACTGAATCCCCTGCACTTTGAGCTCTCTGCACCTGAGTCTCCCTGCACTGTGAGCACCAGCCCCACTGCCTTCTCAGTCCCTTATGCTCTGACTCCCTGCAACCTCTCTCTGAACCACCCCCCATCCTTTAAGCCTGCCCACTCTTGCACTGATTCCCTGCTCCACTGTGAGCATCTCCCAGCACACTGAGTACCCACTTCATTCTGAGTCCCCTCTGCTCTGAGCTCCCTCCTGCATTCAACTCCCCCTTCCCTTTTGCTGAGCCTGGTTCTGGCTCTTGTGTTCTCCTTGTGCCCCTTCTTCCTAGCCTCTGAGATTCCCTCTCCTTGCACTGAGCCCTCCTTCCTTGTGCTCTGAGCCTGGCTTTTCATGTACTTTCTGGGTATGTCTTCCTTGTGCAGAAGTAAGGCCCTGTAGATCTAGGCCTCCTATGCCAGCAGAAGGGTCAGGAATGGCTGAAATAAGCTCAGTTGACTTTGCAGAGTCCTTTTATGTTCTGGTAATCAAGAACTATGTACAGGAAGTAGATTGAGGTCCCACTTCACATGGGAAAGCTGAAGCTGAGAGCCTCTAAGATCTGCCTGTACCATGAAAATATCTAGTGTTAGACAGGGAGTAGAAGTTTAGCAAGGCTACAGGCCAGACCACGTACAGCAGCTAAGGTAGGACCAGGTCAGTGACTCTGTCCTAGTCTGCTGACCAGTCTTTTGCCCTTCTCAGTGGCACTGACCCCAGGCTCTGGAGATGAAGCCCCCACTCAGCCCAGCTTGCCGCCAGAGGCAGCCCAAGAGGGTGACCTGCACCTGCTGTGGGAGGCCCTGGCCCGGAAGCGCCGCATGAGCCGTGAGCCCACACTGGACTCTATCAGTGAGCTTCCTGAAGAGGATGGCCGTGTGCAGCGCCTGCGCCAGGAGGCAGAGGAGGTGGCTCCTGACCTCTCTGAGGGCTACTCCACAGCTGATGAGCTGGCACGCACTGGAGAGGCTGACCTTTCACACACCAGCTCTGATGATGAGTCCCGGGCGGGTACACCGTCCCTGGTTACCTATCTCAAGAAGGCTGGGAAACCTGGTATCTCGCCGCTGGTCAGCAAGGTGAACCTTCAACTTAGCCTGCATGGAGAGGTTTGGGTATCTCAGAACTTCACCATCCATCCATCCATCCATCCATCCATCCATTTTATCTTTTCTTATTTCCATTGATCCATTCACTATCTGTTCGGCCTTGCTTCTTTCTCTCTGTTCATTCATCTACTCATTTCCTATTCATCTGTCTGCTATCCATGCATCCATACTTCCTTTTCACCCATCCATCCATCTACCCACCATCTGTCCACTCATGCATTTACCCTTCCTTCTATTCATCTGTTCGTCCATCCACCCATCTGCCATTTGTCGATCATCTGTCTGCCACCCTTCCATCTGTTCATCCCTATATCCATCTATTATCCATCCATCAGACTTTAGTCCATGCATTCATCCATGAATCCATCTATCCTTTCTATTCACTCATCTATCTACCTATCTTCTATTCATTCATCCATCATAAATCTACCATCTTTCTATTTACCCTTACACTTATACTTATTTTTTTCATCCACTTTTACCCACCCATCCAATCCATACAATCATCCACTTAACATCTGTTCATTCATCCCCACCCATAATCCACCCACCTGCCACCCATCCATCCATTCATCACCTATCTATTCACCAGTATATTCACCCATTCTCAATCTATTCATCCATTGAAACATCCATTCACCCATTCCTCCTGCCCTCTACCCATTCATTCATTATACATCTGAGAGTCCACTATCTATTATCTATCTACCCCTACTATACTTGTTCATCTGTTCATCTATTTATCTTTCAACCTGTTGACCCAAATATCCACCCACCCATCCATCTATCCTACTGTCCACCCATTCAGCCATCTACCCATCCACCATCCATCCACCATCCAACTATTCATCCATTCATTAATCTGTCTGTCCACCACCTATGCTTCCATTTGGCTGCTAAAGCATTTTCCTGAAGAGTTAGATCCCATGGTAGTATTTCTCAGAACCCTGTTAGTCCCCATCTGGGTGACTCTGTAAAGTGACTTTGAGGAGTTGAGCTTGCTTTTTGGTAGCAACAGGAGCATTAGCCAGTTGGGTTCATTGAAGCTAGTGCAGCTGACAACAGATGGGAACCAGAATGGTAGGCTAAAGTGAGGCCTGGAACTGTAGCCCTGCCCCTATGTCCCTGCACCAGTCATTTTCCTGTCCCTGTCCTCAGTCCCTACTTTACCATGACATCAGGCCCTGTACTCACAGGTTGGGGCCCCAACAGCCCCCTCTGCAAGACTACAGAAACAACAGGAGCAGCCTGTTGCAGTGTGCCCACCACCAGGGGACCTGAGTGCTGAGGACCTGGGTGATCCTTCCATGGACAAGGCAGCTGTGAAGATCCAAGCTGCCTTTAAGGGCTACAAGGTTCGCAAGGAGATGAAGCAGCAGGAAGGGCTCGTGTTCTCCCGCACGTTTGGGGACACTGAGGCACAGGTGGGTGATGCACTGCGGCTGGAGTGTGTAGTGGCAAGCAAGACAGATGTGCAGGCCCGCTGGCTGAAGGATGGTGTCGAGCTGACCGATGGGCGGCACCACCACATTGACCAGCTTAGAGACGGAACCTGTTCTCTACTGGTCACTGGCCTGGGCCACGCTGATGCTGGGCGCTATACCTGTCAGGTGAGCAACAAGTTTGGTCACGTGGCCCACAGTGCCTGTGTGGTGGTCAGTGGGACAGAGAGCGAGGCTGAGAGCTCCTCAGGAGGTGAACTGGATGATGCCTTCCGCCGGGCTGCCCGGCGGCTGCACCGGCTCTTCCGCACCAAGGGTTCAGCTGAAGTTTCAGATGAGGAGATCTTCCTCAGTGCTGACGAGGGCACCATGGAGTTGGAGGAGCCTGCAGACTGGCAGACATACCGTGAAGATGAGCATTTTGTCTGCATCCGTTTTGAGACACTTGCTGAGGCCCGCCGTGCAGTCACCTGCTTCCGGGACATGTTTGCTACATTGGGCATCGGAGTGGAGATTAACCTCGTGGAGCAGGGTCCCCGGGGGGTAGAGATGCGCATTGGCAAGGTGGCCCCTGTTCCTGTGGTGCCTCGGGAGCCAGTGCCCAGCCTGCTGACTTCTGATGCCGGTGAGTTTGCATGCTGTCTTTGTCAGGAGTCAGAATTAGAATTGGAGGAGCAAGGCTGTTGGTGGCCAGAGTCAACTGAAAGCTCAAGGGGTTACCTGCACTTTAGCATCAGGCTCTTTGCAGACACAGCCCACCGAAGTGTGAAAGGGTCTTTGGTGATTCAATAAAATGTGGGGGGAAACGGTATAGAAAGCAAACATAGATACCAGAGACAGTGTGGGAAGAGCAGGAGGTGGCAGAGGGTAAGAGATAGGGAACCAAGGATGGGGGGAAAAAAGCAAAACATACAGAAAACAAGAAATGGAAGATTATTTGCTGATAATAACATGTTTGTTGATGTGCTTGATTGAGACAAAATACAGTATACTCTGGATGGAAAATCTCATTTTGTATGTTGTAATGATGTACAGTGAATGAATGCAAATAAATAAATTGAAAAAAGAAAAAAAGTCCCGACTCTGAGGTTAAACAGGGCTGAATTTGAATCCTAGCCCTGCCTCTTACTAACTATGTGCTTTGGGGGAAGCTATTTAGCCTCTTGAAGCCTCCCTTTGCACATCTGTGAAATGGGAATGTGAATGCTTTTTAGAAGTTTGTTTTGTTTTTAGTGAGATTTTGAGGTGTAACCTGTATAAAATACAGGGTTCCTTATGATCTAGTCTATACTCCATTTCCCATTCTAGCAATTAAAAGTGAAAAGACACTTCATTGTTTACTTGCACCTCTCTAGGAACATTAAGGAGGGTATAATTAATAACCCACAGCACCATTTCTTAAAACTTTTTCTCACTCTCTCACTTCAAATCTCTCACCTTTTCCTCCTAGGCTCCTAGCCCAGATGGGCTTTATCTTAACTTTACCTTCCCTTTCCTCCTTATTTCCCATTTATTCCTCTTGCCTCATTGTAACTTGAGAACCAAGCTGGCATAAAGAGAATTTTTATAGAACAGGAAGAGGGAAAGCTTAATAGGCAAAGACACAAGTCTGTTTTAACTGTAAGGGTCTATAAATATTCCCTCATGGATGGTTGTTGGGCAGATCATATGTATCAAACTGCCCATGTAGTGGTAACTGACATATATTGGGTCATCGGGAAAGTCATGATGCATTTTTGCAATAGAAAAACATAAAAAAATACATCATGACTTTCCCGAGAACCTAGTATATGGCAATCAAGCATGATTGGCATGCCAGGACTAACTTGCCACAACGCTTTGCCCATCTGCTCCAGCCCCAGTGTTCCTGACAGAGTTGCAGAACCAAGAAGTGCAGGATGGATATCCTGTGAGCTTTGACTGTGTGGTGACAGGCCAGCCTGTGCCCAATGTGCGCTGGTTCAAGGATGGGAAATTGTTGGAGGAGGATGACCACTACATGATCAATGAGGACCAGCAGGGTGGCCACCAGCTTATCATCACAGCGGTGGTACCAGCAGACATGGGTGTCTACCGCTGTCTGGCTGAGAACAGCATGGGTGTCTCTTCCACCAAAGCTGAGCTCCGTGTGGACCGTGAGTATTGTTTCTGGTTTGGTATATTTAAACTTGGGAGTACACCACGCTCAAGCTGGAGTAGAGGGTGGGCATGAGAGCATCATCTCAGGCCCCTGGTTTTTGCTATAGGGTGCATGTGCTTGCCAGAAAGACAGAAAGAGACAGACAGAAAATGAGAAATTGTCCTTCGGGGGGATGACAACACCGTGATCTTTTCTCCATTCTCCTCTTGGGATCTTGGGCATGCACACACATGTACCTGGCGTGAGTTTAAGCCACCGGGTCCAGGAATCGAACCATGGTCGACTACGTGGGAGTCCAACAACATAACCATTACACCAACTGCTGGTCCCTGGCTACACAGTCTTTTAACTTGCATTATTTTCAGTGAGAAATATGTCACTCTTATCTTTGATTCTCTATACAGAACTTGTCTTTCACATAGGAATTTGACATTTTTTAGGTATTCATACATCACAAAATTCACTTTTCAAAATGTACAATTTAGTACCTTTTAGTATATCTATAGGTTGTACAATCATCACTATTATTTTATAGTATGTTTTGGAAATCTAATTCCAGAACATTTTCATCATCCTTCAAAGAAACGATTAGCAGTTACTTCTCTTTCTCCTTTCTCTTCAACCCCTGGAAACTACTAATCTACTGTCTGTCTCTCCAGGTTTGCTTGTTTTGGACATTTATCAATGAAATCCTACAAAATATGGCCTTTGTCTTCTTTCACTGACCATGTTTTCAATGTCTATCTATGTTGTGGCATTTATCAGTTTATACACCTCTTTATGGCTGAAAAACATTCTACTGTATGTGGAATATTTATCCATCCAAAGGATGTTTACCCATTGGTTGTTTGGCTATTATGAACAGTGCTGTTATGAACATTTATGTTCAAGTGCTTGGAGAACATATGTTTTCAGTTCTCTTGGGTATATACTTAGGAGTAGAACTGCTGGATCATATGGTAACTATGTTTAAGCTTTTGAGGAGCCACTAAACTCTTTTCCACTTTACATTCTCTCCAGCAATATGTGAGGGTTCCAATTTCCCCATATCCTTGACAGTACTTGTTGTTGTTCAGAATTTGTATTATAGCTGTCTCAATGGTTGTAAAATGGTACTTCATTGTAGATTTTTAAAAGTATTTTGCCATTGGGCACATGTGCTCACTAGAAATCACCCTCTTGGGGGATGGTCACACCACAATCCCTTCTCCATTCTCCTCTTGAAAATTTGGGTATGCATGCACACATGCCTGGTGTGATTCTCAAGCCTCTAGGTTTAGGACTCGAACACTGCATCAACCATGTGGGATGTTTGATTATGACGAATGATGTTGCATCTTTTAATATGCTTATTGGCCATTTGTATATTTTCTAGAGGAATGTCTGTTTGAATCTCTTGCCCATTTTTATTTTAAAAACTTTTTTAAAAGTCTTTTTTCCATGATTAAAAAAGAGAGTGACAGAGAGAGACCAAGACAGAGAAACAGGTATCCCCAGTAGAGTTCTCATGCTGCAATCCACTCCCAACATCAGCCAGTCTCATACCCCATGTGTTCAGGGAGGTGTGTTCAAAACCAGAATATTCCCATATGAGTCAGCCTTGCAGAGCATTGCACTACAGCTGCACTGCTGTCTAGTCTGTCCCTTACCCATTTTTAAATTGCAGTATTTGTCTTTTTATTTTTGTCGTAAGAGTTCCTTATGTATTCTTGATACTGGACTTTCACCAGATATATAATTTTCAAGTATTTTCCTATTCTGTGGGTTGTACTTTTAATTTCTTGATAGTTTTTTTGTTTTTAATTTGCTATAGGGTGTGTGTACTTGCTGGAAAGAGATAGAGGATAGAGAGGAAGGGGGAGGAGAGAGAGAGCAAAAGAGAGAGAATCCACCAGGGGAATGACCACACTGCAATCCCTTCTCCTCTATTCTCCTCTCTGGATTTTGGGCATAGACATGCATGCGCCTAATGTGTCCTTCAAGCTGCAAGTCTGTGACTTGACCATGCAGTCAGCCATGTGAGATCCAGTTGCCCCAACCTCTCTCCACCGACTGGCCCTAAAAGTGTTCTTTGAAGCATTGCAATTTTTAATTTTAGTGAGGTCCAATTTATCTACTCTTTTTCATTACTTGGGCTTTAGTTGTCATATTTACAAAACCGTTGCCTAATCCAAGGTTATAAAGAGATACACCTATGTTTTCTTCTGAGAGTACCTTTATAGTATAGTATATAGTATCTTTATAGTATATAGTATCTTGCTCCATTTTGTGTTAATTTTTGTAAGGGCCCACATTCATTCTTTTATTGTGGATATCCAGTTATTGCAGCATCATTTGTTGAAAAGATTATTTTCCCCACTGAACCATCTTACAGTCCTTTGCAAAAATTAATTTCCTCTAAATATAGGTATATTTATGAGCTCTAAATGTTATTCCATTGATCTAAATATCTGACATTATGGTAGTACCACCAATAATGTGGAGAGTAACTAATGAATCAAACCAATTTAGAACTGAGAGAAATATTAGAACTGGCAAAGGACAACATTAGAACAGATATTAGAATTGTGTTCTGCATATTTTAAAAGTTAAGTAGAAATATAGTAAGACTCAATTAGAACTTCTAGAAATGAAAAATAAAATGGATGAGATTAATAGGTTATATGTTATAGAAGAATAGACAGTATCATGTTAAGGATATTGGGGAC